CTAAGACTTAACTTTTGTGATTCGAGCGTCACTGATGAAACTTTTGAAGACGAAACGCGCGTCTGGCATACACAACTTTAATCCTGGTATCTATGATGAGTTTATTCATAACAGTACTCAAATGACATCTCTAAAATCTCTGAAAACTCAAGAAAATTTAATGTTAGTCTGAACTTTTTGTATGATTAAGTCACATAAAATCTAATTACTTTTGATATAAACAAATGTAGCATATTTTTCATCTTCTTACATAAATAAAATAATAATGAGATGTGGTATAACTACAATGGGACAACTATCCACCAAAAGACTAAAAGACAAGGACGAAAACAAGTACAGGTCACCACATGGCCTTCAACAATGAACGAAATATATAACGTATAGTAAGTTTTTATTAACTAGCTGTAAAGCAATACAACAACAAAAACCAAGCTATAAACACGAAACGAAAAAACATTTATAACAGACGGCAACTTACGACAACCATTGGAATACAGGTCTTTGGATTGGCCAGACATAAACAGAATGCAGCGGGGATAAACATGTTTTGAGCTGTCAACCCTCCCCTTATCTCGGACAGTGTTGTAACAGCATAAGAACAAACTGTAAAGATCATTTAAGAGATACTTGACTCATCAGATTGATAGTAAACACACAAAAAAAGACATAAAAAAACACACACAGTACCGATCTATATAAGAGTACATGCAAATAACAAAAAGGATGCATATGGTATGATTGCAATAAGACAACTATTCACAAGAGAAGATGTAAACAACTATGCGTCACAAAACGACCTTTAACAATGAACAAACCCCATATAGAAAGCTGCATGAGAAAATGCTCAAAACAATAAGCAAAATTTAAAAAAAAGGCAGAATCTGGAACATTCACAGATATTGAAAAGATTTAACATGTTTGTTAGCGCCCAACCCAGCTCTGATCTGGAAGAGTACTTTAACAGCAAAAACATTATGATAAATTGTGAAAAAATAGTCGGAAAAGGTTTGACTCATCAGAACGACACGAAGCATAAAAACATGCAGCAAAAAAAACAAAAAACCAAAAGTGCCGATCTTAGGGAATTCGCAGTTACTGAAAGCTATAGCAAAGCCAATTTAAACTTATGATGTCCAACATATATGTAGGACTCTGAACCGCGATGGTACTCCGAACCGCGATGGTACACTGAAGTGCGATGGTTTGACGCTGAAGTACGTTTTTGATCACGCTGTTCAAAGTGCGATGATGGCATTGTGACGCTATCTTGTTGATAGCTACGCCGAAGTGCGATGGTGGTTACGCTGGAGTGCGATGGATTACCTAAACCTTATTGTTAATGTGTCCCATGTCGACGAAAAGGTAAATTTGTTCGCTAGAAGCAGCGTTTCATGTTTATTAAGTAAATTATCGAGAATAGTAACCTGTTTAATTAAAAACAGTCATAATAAATATTTCCAGTCATAATTGTAACGTTGTAGTTCACTTTTGACAAAAATAAGCCAACGTTCATACAATCATTCAAGACGCTACATACAAGATTATTTTCCATTAAAACCAGTGTTAAATTCAATGACTGAATCTTTGGCATGAAGTCATGTTTTTCTCTGATTGTCAATGACGTCTTTACACTTAATCCATTGGATGTTGGAAGTGAACTGATTGATATTTTAGTCTTAGATACATGATTTATATTAGTTGTTATTGACTTTGAACTAGCCGTCAGTAACTGTGAGTACTCACAGATCTGTACTTTGTGTCTTTTTTGTTGTGGGGATGTATAAATTCCCTGCCATGTCCGGTCTGTGCTTTTGTTGGTTGTTTTTCTGCTTAGTATCGATCTGATGAGTTAAGCCCTTTTCATCCGATTTTTATAGTTTGTTCTTATGTTGTACTGTTACATGTTCACCACTGTCACAGGTTAGGGGGAAGGTTTGGCGCCAGCAAACATGTTAAACTCAGCCACATTCTGTATGTGCCTGTCCCAAGTCAGGAGCCTGTAATTCAGTGGTTGTCGTTTGTTGTTGTATATCATATTTGTTTTTCGTTTATTGTTTTGTACATAAATCAGGCCGTTAGTTTTCTCGTTTGAATTGTATTACATTTGTCATTTCGGGGCCTTTTATAGCTTACTATGCAGTATGGGTTTTACCAATTGTTGAAGGCAGAACGGTGGCCTATAGTTGTTAACTTCTACGATATTTGGTCTCTGGTGGAGAGTTGTCTCATTGGCAATCATACAACATCTTCCTATTTTTATATTTATGATAGTCCTTATAGTCTTTAGGTCAGGTTGTTTAGATATTTAGTTTGACAGTGAAAGAAGCGCAAGCCCTATTTCTTATACTGGTCGCATATCAATAAACATCTCGTTTAGCAAGTTAATGGGACGTAAAGATATTTGTCCGTAGATTGTAAAACTGCCATCTGTTGCATCATATACAAATGGTTGTGGTTGTACAATCCTTTTTTAAAAATACATAATTCATGTATCTATATCGCGTATAAATAATTTACAATTTCTAAGAGAATGAATTTATCTTGTTTTCTTTAGCTATAAAAACAGCATAAAATCGTCGTACTGTGAGGACATATTGTTAAAAATAAACCATCTGTTACATCTAAAACGAATACTTTTATATCGGATAAAGTCTGAATATAAATTTTACATACAATATTTTGACATTTTTGTTAAAAAATGATTAACCTTTATCTTTACCTAAGCTTATTTGACCTCGGACAGTTTTGTCCGTTCTGTAAAGTACATTATAGTTTGATGATCACCGATGTAGGTTTGTCTGGCTTTTGGTCTCTAGTGTTCCAGAAGAAGAAAGATCAAAAGACGTTCGAACAGAAACGTTTATATTCGTCTAATATCTTATTTTTAAAATATATAATTTTTTAGATAAAGAAAAACAGTCGATTACTAATTAGGCGTGAATCATGATAGGCACCGACTTCATCGTCCAAATATCGGGGAAATGCAGATGTATTAAATCGGATTTTTTCTCATACATTTCTACTTATTGCACATTTATACTTGTTCTTTTTCCTTTTTTGTGATGTTTTTGGGATTATGCCAGCTCTCATTTCCGTTTTATTTGAAAAGCCTCTGTATGAAATCTGTCTCATACGTATAATGGAATAAGTCGGGAGAGCACATTTGGTTTTTATAGGATTGCCGACTGTCAGTTGTAAATAAAGTCCACCAAACGTAACCGATATATTGTCAATAAAAAAAAGCATCTTGATAAAGACAGGTTACAGAGACAATTCTATCAGAATTAAAATGTATATGAGTTTCCCTCCTAAAACAAGATATTTGTATCTACGCTGGCATTCTTTGTTATGGCCCATTCTTTCGATCTGTCTCCAATGTGAGAGTAAGGAATGCTTTCGTAAACCATGGAGAAGTTAATTGTTTTATGCTTTTGCACACGATAAGTGACTAACTTAAATTGTGTGTACTTTACCGTGATATCTTTTGAATTTGTTCGTTTCCATATCTCATTCAAACCTTCCCTAGTAGGAAGTTTCACAACATCTCTGAAGTCCGGTTTTGATTGCGGATAGAATAGTTGTTAGTAATTTGGAAAGAGGTTCGGTGAAACATTTCAATTGGCAGACCAAGCAATATTGTCTGGAATTATCTTCGACATAATCAATTAGTCTTGTATTTACAGTTTAGAAATTTAGAAAAACAACTAAAAGTACACACATGATTGAAAAGTCCACGAAACAGTTTGTCCTGGGAATTTGGATAACACAATTGTAATAGACCGAAGGGCAGTCGACTTTTACATTAATACCCTTTTACAACTTAATCACATCTTTAAAATAAAAGAATACATTTTTTCAACTGGAAGGAAGAATTAGAAGTTCATACCTTTCCTGTCGCCTTGCTCATGAAAAACCCAAAATGTTAATATTGGTTAACAAATGAAACAGACCTTGTGTAGTCAATATCTACTAATCAAGACTTGTGTAGAATATTTGACAAATATCAAATTAGAGGTTATTATTGAGCAACCTCGAGCATTGTTATACTTGTTAGATGTGGAACTGCATCTTGAATTTTAAAAAAATGTATAAATCAAACTTGTATACTTTCAGAAATACAGTAAATAACAAATATAAAAGAAAGATAGATGTAGCAAGAGTGTTCATACATCCATTTAGTGTTATTTTAAATTCGAATTTGTAACAACGACCTCACAAATTTTTCCACTTGAGGAAAGTATTTTTGTTTTTTTTATTCTTTTTATAAAGATATCGAACGATTGCATTACATAATCTCCGACAGTATCAAACTGAAATTTCGTACAAACCAGCAGTACAGATCATTCAAAAGGCAGCGATTAGTTTGGCACTTTAAAAGGGGCAATACAAAATCCTTTGAAAACATATATGAACGATTAATAATATATCAATTATAAACTCAACTTAACTGCTTGATCTTTAAGATAAACACAAACCAATGTAAAACAGTTTCACTGAATTAGTAAATTAATCTATTACTTGTCATATTAACGATTTTCTGTATATTAGAAGAGCTTGTCAATTTATAATACAATATAAGTTAACTTTTACATATCTATTACATAACATCATTTATTCATAAAAACAAGCTGTATAAAAGGTATATATATATAGATACCAATGTTGAAACGTACCAGATAAAAATCATGATATAACACAATTACTTAGATGTCAGTTTTGATGAACTTTCATCAGGTGCGATTGCTGTGGAATGAAATTTCAAATGCATTATAATAAAGGGGTGATTGTAAACATCACATCATATTAAAAGGCAGAATTAGCAGTGTTCCAAACAAATTCAATGGAAAGATGTCCACAAAATTGACAAAAGTTTTCACGAACAATAAAAAGTATGCAAACAGCACACATCCCAAATCTCATCTGCAGTATTTGATAAATTGCGTTGAACATATTTTGGGATTTATGTTGTTTTTCTCTTATGTAAAAGTTATATAACTTACCTAAGGCACTAGCCATTTCATCAAATCCTTCCTTGGATTGTTCCTGCCAGCTTCCAACAAATGCATCCAATCCAGTCATCACGGAATTGCTAAGGAAGTAAAAGTCTTCCTGAATACAAGAAATAAGATGTTTATTTTATTTTTATCAAGATAATGTTTCAGTTATTCACTGAACTACTATAGTTCCTTTCCCCTGCTAGAAGCACGTGCAGGTAATTAGTCTTTAATATTGATATACTCTCTGCTGTTTGATGAGTTTGTTGAGAAATTGAAATTAACTTAAAGCTCTGTGAAATCTCAATAACGGCAGCTTATATATAGCACAGGTCTATAGAAGGCAAACCCACGTTGTCTGCTATGGGGGTCGGCAAGTACGCAATTTCTCAATAAATTCAGATCATATTTTGTCGATTTTATTACGCTTCTAATTTTTTACTGCATCGGTAATACATGTTCATTGTACTCCAATCAATTTCACTAAAAGACCACGGGAAATGTGTTTAGACAACACCTTTAATTATTGTTTTACTCTATACGATCAGACAGAAAACATTTATCATGAAACATCTGATGCATTTTCCTATGTTTAACTGGCGAGTTATTATATGAATATTCTGTGTTGTAGAAATTGATTAGTTTTCATTCATCTGTAGTAAATAGCAACGTTTCCATGCACGATTTCACCTGTAGAATACTCTTCTAATAGACGAAATCTGCCTTCAGTTTAGTGAACAAAGTAATGTTAAATACTATAGATTTTATAAATCAATATATGAAACATTTGTTTTACTACTAAAATGCTCGTTTGTTCTACTACTAAAATTCTCGTTATGGTAAAAATCTTAGTACGTATAGAGGTGTGTATATGAAGAATATCTGGAGTGCAATCGCATGAATATAGCTCAAGTCTGGATGTTGAAAACTTGAAGCTTATCTCAATTGAAACTTTTTCTGTTTTGATTAATGTATTGACCGATATAAAGATTTGTGCATGTATCTTTATATGACAAGAAAAAAACTTTGACAATAATTCAATAATTCATTTACATGCATATACACTTGTATCAAAACATGAATTAAGTTTTCTTTCGGTGCACGTGCACTTTAAATACAAAAAGGGAGATGGCACATGCTTGCTAATGACTCGTACAGCTATCAATAAAGATTGATTGATTGATTGTTGGTAGCTTAACGTCCATTGGCAAAAATGTAAGCATGTTCAGAACGAGAGCAAATGAACGAAATTTAGACTTCCACCCACTGGAAAATGAGATTAATAGTAGATAGGGAAGGAAATTTAGCCTTGCAACAGGCCATCTACGGACCCATCAAGGAATTGTTGCAAGGGTTCTTAAAGTGCAGAGAGCGTGACACACTCTCTTCACGAGGCATCGGATTTACGTCTCCATTCTGACCGGACGTGACTGCGTACTTGTTCATCCCGCACAGCCAAACGGATGTGTCCCATTTCGGCACGGGTTTTACTGCCGGTCGGAAGAAGACCAAAATTGGCCATACTTCTATTCCCCAGTCGCCCTTTGGGGTATTATCAATAAAAAAATGAAGGACACATGTAAACAATTACAGATCACCATATGGCATTCAACAGGGTATTGAACAGAACAGATGGAATGATATATCTAAAAATTTTAGACTTTGTATTTTATGTAACAAAAATGATATTTGCGATGAATTTCTTTATATATTAGACTGTAAATACTTTGAATAACACATACAAGTTTGTATGTCACATTGCTATTTTAAAAATGCAAATATTAAAAACAGTCAGATTATAACTTATTAACAGCTTACTATTGATTTAACTTTGTAAACTTATCAACAACGGTTTTGTGCTCCTGGCTAAATATTGTTTTCTCTATACCTATGTATTAGGTGCGTTGAGAATAAAGATATACAAAAAAACCAGACGATAACCAACGGAAACCACTGGATAAAGTTATGGGCTTGGGACAAGCCCATAATAAATGTGGTCGGGTTTAATATGTTTGCGAGCGCTCAACCCTTGCACAACCTGACCGACAGTGGTATAACAACACACTAGAAGAACAAACTGTAAAAAAAACCAAAAACGTTTAAAAGTCAATTTAACACAGTGGATCATTGAAATATCTTATCATATGTTATGGCAAACAAACAAACAAAACAAAAACACTGGAAAGATTGGTTAACTGATAGGTTTAATGCCAAGAGGCAAAATTACAGCCTTATTGGGAACGATAACATTATATGTCACATCGATGCTTATAGAGTACAATAACATTATATGTCACATCGATGCAATAGTACCAATGATCCATCCAAGTAAAGTTTTTAATTAAAAATACAAAAATGGACTTTTTAAATAAACCTTATAACTGCCCTGAACTTTAGTGAGGACCAAGTCAGGAATATGGACTTTTTAAGTACATCCTCTAGCTGCCCTAAACTTTAGTGAGGACCAAGTCAGAAATATGGCAGTTGTTGTTCACTTGTTCTGTTGATTGATAACGTTTGATTTTGTCAGTTTTTATGGACTTTCCTCTTTGAATTTGTTTTGGAGTTCAGTATTTTTGTAATAATTTTGTAGTGACTTTGCACAAGTTTTTGGAACCCTCATTCCGAGAACAATAAACGGTAGCATAACATGGTAAAACAAGTAGGGAATCTATATTTAAAATGTAATATCTAAAACTCCAGTAAAAAGTATGTGGGTTTTCTGTAAAAATCTTGATTCCAGTTTCCATAAAATCACTAATTTCCATTAAATGCAATGAAACAATATAAATATCATTGCTGTGAATGAGTTTTTTTTTTCATGGTGTATATAGCAGTACTGTAATAAGTCTATAAAAGAATTGATCAAACTTTAATGTCCGAAATGTAAAAGTGCAGTGTGTCCTTTCCTTTCTTTCTTATAACAGCGATACATAGTATGTATCACTGTATGCGAAACACATAATTCCACATAAACGTGTGTTGGCATCTGCATTTAACCCAAACATTTCTAAAACAAAACGATTTAAAGAATGGATTGAAATCAGTCAATCCCGCATTTAATTTTCATTTTATATCTATTACATTTAATATTTTATTTTGAATGATAAAAATATATTAAATATTTATAACAATAAAACATTTGATAACCTTAAACATATGGCGCAGTTACTTTTTTTGTAAAAACAAAAATGCCTTCCTTGAATATATGTTTAGTTAAATTTTTGTCCTAAAAGACATACGCATGAAGTTGAAAGGGTTTAACACTAGATGCGGGAAATACATTAAATGTAGATCTTATTACAGGTTTGATTATTAAATGTGACAGGTATAGTAGCACTCCGTGTTATGTTCAGGTATGCGAATAACTTAATTCTTTTAGTACAAATTCCAACTTCTTTATAAACCGTAGATCCTTTACTTCATCTGTGTACTATTTGCTTGAATTTGTTTTATTTTATATGTATGAACCCGTCTGATTCCGCACCTGTTTATTTCATCTGGAATTAAACTATAGGGAAACACGACATTGAATTTTGACACCCTTGTGCACCGTTTATTGGCAACAAGACCATCTTTTTGTCACTTTGATATTATCTACCTGCTATTAATACTCTTAATATTTAAAGAATATCAAAGATAGCGAAAAGATAACATGTCAGGTCTCAGTTCATGCTTATTCTGACAATGAAAATATTAGCAGCCCGACCATTAAAGAAGATTTATTAGAATTTGGGAAAAATATTGGAGTTTATTTAGGAAAAATTCAAATTAAAAAAGATTTAAATAAACGTACAAAATCCAGCGTAAAGTGTTTGAGCAATTCATTATAAAGATAAACATGGACTGAATTAACATCTCAAAGCAATTATATTATGTAATAGATCAAAATTAATATCAAGTACACAGAAGCGACATAGCACTTTGTTTTGAAGAGAGAGGTCTCAAAATTATAGTTTTGCCTCTTTTCAACTGAATTTGTTTTTTAAATTCAAAAGAAACTTTGTATGTGGTATACAAACCATGGCAAATTTCCAAATGTTTTGCTTGTACAAATATGTTTTGTTTTGTCAAAACATATCTTTGACCCTGTCCTTCGAATGCACGATCTGTCGCAATCAACAAACCATAGACTAATAAACTACCGAATGTGTATCTTTCGAACAAACTACAGACTGCGTATCTCAATTACAAATTACTGACTGTTTATTTATCTAACAAACTATTGATTAAGTATCTAACTAACTAACTTCTGACCGATTATATAACCAAGTAACTAATTTATTAACTAACCAACCAACGAAATATAAAAAAGATTTGTTGGCCAATTCCAAAACGCTTGTCTGGTCTGAAGATTAGCTTTGTAAATGCTACCAAGTATAATTGGTATGTTTTACTTTGATTAAAAGATATCACAACTGGTCACCGTAATTCTATTGAAGTACTATACATTTCATTTTTCGTTCATCAATTAGATTTAAAGTCATATGATGTACATATACTGAAAAAAAACAGGATGAGGTACATATACATACCTTCATATGATTGCATGATTGCTTGATTGGTGTTTACATTGTGTTCAGTGAAGAATATTACAGACATACAAATTAAATAAAAAGTCTAATAGGTAACCCTGCAAAATTGAGTCAAAAAGTATGGAGGAAGAAAACTAAAAAAAATACCATTATACAAAGTTTTGACAACTTTGCAATGCACAAAAAAGCTCGGAATAACATTTAATAACATTTTAATAACAATAATAAAATATGCCTGAAACCTTTTAGCTTCTATAATGTTCAATTTTAATATTCAAAAGACTTGGTTTTACCCGGAAAAAAATCATAATACTTTAGAAGATTTAAGTCTAGACATTATTGAATTGAACGCTTATTGCTTAAACACAATTATTAAAATTTCAATTAAAACATAGGATCGATTGCGTCATAATGGATATATATTCACCTCTTTATTCGCATTAATGTTAGTGAATATTTCATTTCAATCTTATGCGCTAATTACATGTGTTATTGGTGACCAGCCCTAACGGCATTACTAAAATATTTTTCTTGTCATATTCAGGTGCAAAGCAATATATCAATAATTTTTGCAACAACACAATCTAATAAACTGTATAATTACATTTAGTATCAATAATGAGTCAGCACGTACTATTTCAGATAACGCAAAGACAAATTAAAAATAGATATTCACTTTTGAAAATAAATCAAATGGAAAATACATTAAAATCAAAACAAAAACAGAAAAATGTGCTTAACTATAGCTAGTCGAAGTCACACACACGGACATGTTTTTACAGGAAAAACATATGACAATATCTAAATCAAAGCAGATACTAATAAATACATTTGAAATGCATCAACGATCTACAAAAAAGACGTTACATTGGAAAATACTCAAAACCCTTACCATTAAGGGATACCATTATGAAACGTGACATGACATGGTGACCGTGATTATGTTTCATTGAAAATAGCCACAATCTTGTTTTCCTCTCCTCGCTTATGACATCACCGAATGCGGCTTATCACCGTATTTGTTCTTGCAGTGAGCAACACACGACTGTTGCCACTAGTGGAGAAGGAACTACGTCCCGTAAAGATCACACTAATTCATGCAATAAGATTGATTGGGTTTATTCTTCTCCGTGTTTAGTTTTCTGTTTGGTGTT